GGCTACGGGGATTAAGAAATTTGCTTTATTTTAACATTATTTTCCTTTATATATTAATTATATAAAGTATAAACTTGTTTATAATTCTATGTAAGCAATTATGTAAGAGAAATTAACGTTAACAAGTTGTAAACAACTAGGATGATTTATGGTCGATTTTTACGTTGTAAAACTATAAAAATGTCGTTTATAGATAAAATTTTATATATTTTTCATGTTTTTAATATAATAATAAAGATTTTCAGCTGGAAAAATGCATAAAAACGTGCAAGAAGCTAGGTGAATTTGCATAATGACAATGGAACAACTCATACACAACCAGATGATTCTAGGGTGGATTTTTATATTTTAAAACGATCAAATATTATATTTACAGATACAAAACGACTCCATTTATGATTTTTAGATAGCAATTTAAAGATTTAACTTACAAAAATGCATGAAATAAGAGCATGAATATAAGAAAGTTCACATGGTGACAATGGTAACAAGTCATAAACAATCAGATGATTCTGAAGTAGATATTTATATTTTAACATTTGAAACATACTATTTAAAGATAGAAAAACTACTTAATTTACACAAATATTAAGTATTTAAAATAGAAAATTAAAGAATTAAACTAGAAAATGAGCATCAAGTTGGAAAAGTTTTTGTAGTGGCAATGGTAACAGGTCATAAACAACCAGATGATTCTGGAACAGGATATATTTTCAACACAACAAAAATGCTATTTATAGCTAGTAAACTGTCAATTTTACTTTATCTCAAAGCATTTAAGTTAGAAAATTAAAGACTTAACCTTTAAAAAAGGGAGGAAAATTGGACTCTAAGAAGCACCAACAAAGGAACTAATCTACGAGGAAAATCATGAAATAAAGCAAATTTTTATCACGTGACGGGGTAAGAACAATAATGGATTAAGCTTAAGGCTATACAGCAAGAGTAAAAAAAAAAAAAAAGGTGCTCAGGTTTTTCTTTGTGTGTGTACCCGTACACAAAGGTATCATCGATCGTGTTACTTGTCACTATTTCACTCAAGCCATCATCGATTGACAATATCGGCAAGACATAACATCAAAAAAATTACTTACCTTAGGCTACGGGGTCAAAACATTTCTATATTTGATGTTTTGTTGGAAAGCAACCGACCGAACTCGACCCCCCTATTGGAAATTTTATTTATCTAAACTCTTACCCCTTATCAAATTTCTCACTCTTCTCTCTCTCACACACACACATACAGACACACGCACGGACGAACACACACAAAAAAATAGGTAAAGAATAAAAAAAATAAGTGTCAAAAACACCAGAGAATCGATTTAATTTTAGTAAAATCAAAGAAATTCTATCAAATAATTATAATTTTAGAGCTTACAAACCGTTAAATGTAGTGATACAAAGATGGCCATGCCGGGTCGAAGTGGACGCCATCTTGGATTTTTCTTGTTTCTTTGTTCTTTTAACACCCCGACGGCGGTACTTTAAACACTCGACAATTATAAAACGTATGGATTAATTTAAGTTAAACAATACTACGTTACGTAATTGATGACGTTCTTATTTTAGGTGTTCTTTGATGATAGGTGCGGTTGTAGAAAACCCTTGTGTAACCACGTGTTTTGTTACCGCGTTTGCTAAACCTCTTCTCACTTGACAGCGGTTTCTGTCGTAAGGATGAATGACCAAAACACTAAAGCAAAAATAAAGTCGTTTCTCGTGCATCCTTCGCAGTAAACACGTATTAATACACTACATTTTATACAAAACTACGCTTCGCACCCCCTCATTATCGCCTCTGTCACTCGAATTATAGCAATAAAATCGCTTACTTTAATTACTTTAAACTTTATTTATTTTTAAATTTGTAAAAAAATGTATTAAATTCATCTTCTAAAAAATTCCAATTTGGGGATCAAACACCCTCAAAACACCCCCTTAAAAGTGGTTTTAAGCCGAGATTTTTTGCGTTTTGAGTTAATTTGTATGCGGATTTGGGGGGTGGCCTGATTTTCTAACAGGCCTCAATTTAAGGCCTGTTTAGTAGGCCTAATAATCAATTTTCAGGTCGTGGTTTTTTTTGGTTATAACAAAACACGTTTAATCTATCAAAGTATAAGCATGTAAATTGCCTATTAAAATGCCTGTAAAGGCATAAATTTTGAATTAATTTAAAGACTGTAAAGGCTTAAAATAAAGTTTAATTTTAGTATTTTTTGAGCCTTTTTTTCAATAAAGGCAATTTAAAAATTATCATGAAATATTGCCTGTTTAAAATGATCCACAAGCATTATCTAGGCTCCATAAAATGTTATCTACGTAGGGCCTAAACTTATATAATTATAAAAAGTGGTTTAAAAACTTAAGGCATCGATCAGGAATTCTGTGAAATTCCCTTAAATTAATCTCAATTACAATGCACATCTTGAATGCGGGCATTAATTTAGAGGCCTTACCTTATACGAATTATCTATTATGCCTTGTTTAATATATCAAGAAGGCATTCGAACAGTAGGCCTTACGCTAATTCGGGCCCTTTTAACTAGCAATTCAAATATACAGGCAGAAAGAGCTCATTAGAAATTCACGAGCCTCCCTCCCCCTTTTAAATTATGAATAAATTAGCATATGTAATTAGTTAAAAACTGAATTAAATAATTGAAAACTAAATTTCGAGTGAATTTTTATTATTTATATTTTTATTTATATTTATTTTTTTTTTATTTTTTTCCAGAATAAATCATTGCATTTTCGGGGCATCCACGACAAAATGGCATTTTTCATTGGAATAAACTTACTTCAATAGGGATTTAGGGATATATTTAGTTGACGTTTATTAATTAGTCGAGTGCTCGAAGAAAGTAGGCAGCTGTCAGTGTCCTTCTCTTCACGTTGTACATATTGTGAACACGAAAAACATTTCGACAAAACACTTTTATGACAGTAACTTACCCCAAAATAGTAACCACACCTCTGGACATCCCTAATTTTGTGTATAGTGTGGGTGACAAACGGTCCTCTCTTCTTCCTTCTCCAAATTCGTAGTAAACGTTTCAAAACAACACCCTCCTCGCCGGTTGTTTTTGCTAAACAAGGCACTCCTTTAACTACTATCGCACCGTGTGTGCTGCTATAGTAACAGGGTGTATCGATTTGCACGCGTTTTTTTTTTTATTAATTACGTAATAATAAGGTTATTTATTGATCCCTATTACTGAGTGGCAAGTGTGGGTCTACTTCACCCAATTTTTAAAGGGGGTGGAGTTACAAAAGTTCAAAACAGCACCCTCCTTACTAGTTGTTTTTGTTAGAGAAGCCCCAAGTTTAATTACTACTGTAATGTTTATACTATTATAATAACAAAATGTCAATTTGTATGCCTTATTATAGGGTAATTTAATTTCTAATTTCGTAAAATGTATACGTGACACGGTCTCTTCCTTTCTTAAATTCGTTCATTTTACACTTATAATACTACTGTAGTAACAAAATGTATCGATTTATACACGTGTTGTTGCTTTAATTATCGATCGAACCCTTAAATACTTCCGAAAATTTTTGTCAGTCACGTGGGTGAAACAAACGGCCAACTTCCCTCTTCTCCAAATTCTTGGAGGGGTGCAGACCTTCTAAAGTCGAAAACAACACCCCTCATTCCAGTTGTTTTCTTAAAGAAAAACTCTATCTTTAACTCACACTACTACTACTACATTAACAATAATGTATCGATTAATAAGCCGTGTTCTTGCTTTAATTATTGATTAATAAAGATAAATAAAGACAATTGTTAATTTTTATTGATTTCATTTTATTTTTAAACCTTAAAAATATACATTTATTATTGATATTATTATTATTATCATCATTTTTTATTGTTCTTTTTCTAGGTTGGGTGCGTGTTATATCACTTTAAAACATGATTGATAACAATGCAAAATAAGTAAGGATGTTGTAAGGAGAGAAGTGAAGAATTCGAGCATTTTATTCACAATTGATCACGTCGGAAATCTTGACTATCAGTCGGAAGTAACCGTGAAAAGTAGGGATGAAAAAAGTGACGTCATTCATTATATCCCACTTAATCCGTCTTCCTATGTAGGGCACGTTATATTTTTTTTTGTCATCAAAATAGTACAACAACTCAAATCTTCTGACATTTCTCTCGTTCCAACCCGTAAAACTTTAGAGGGGTAGAGGGGTGTCGACTAGCAGGGGGGCCTACAAAATAAGAATAAGAAGAAGAAGAAGAAAATTCTTGTTCGCTTGTCTTCTGGGCAGCCATTACTGTCTCGGAATCGAGAATATTTTTTGGTGGTCCCTTCTCGTACCGAAGAAGACAGCTCTATCCATCATCCATCATCTCTTTACCAATTTAATACCCGTTGGTCGATTCAATCTGAGGATGATCTAGGCTTAAAAAAATAAATAAAATAAAATAAAAATAAAAAATTGTTGTGTGCTCGCTTATTGTAATATATCAAAAACAGTGACAGATATAAAATGAGATAAGGCTACAGGCTAAATAATAAAATATACTCTACGTTGGAATCAATCAGAGTAACAATAATGCCTGTTACTGTAGATTCGATGGGATTTTTTTTTGGTTTAAATTTAAGGCTATTTTCAATGTGGTGTAGAGATAAAGGCTATCTTTACCATAGTGTATAGTAAAATAAGGCTATAATCATTATAGTGTGGAGAAAAATAAGTTAAATTAATCACAACATACTGAAAATAAGACTATATTCACCCATTGTATAGAGAAAGACTCCCTATTTTAAACTTTCAAAAATCTGTACTATTATAGAAACAATATTAATGCGTTTGGTATTATAAAATTATTGATTTATAAGTCTCACGATTGATATTTAAGGCTAATCTTCTGATAGAAAAGTAGAAAAAGGCTCTAAGAATAGTTAGTAAACTACTACTACTACTACAGTAACGTAGCCATTGCTTATTGTGTTTTGTTTGCTACTCTTCCATAAAAGTGAGGAAAGGTAAGTCTGCTACTGTAGCAATACAGTAGCAGATTTCATATACTTAACAGCTCATTAAGTTTGAATGAAAAATTAAAAACTTGAGTTAAGGTACTGTACCATTACATAAGAAGAGTAGTGTTTATAAATCTGTGCTACTGTAGTAACAAAGAGCATCTTCCCTAGAAGCCAAGCTATCTATAGCATTAGACTAACGTCATAACTTTAAAAAAATCTTAGTTTAAATCCGATCTGTCACCCTAAAAACTAAGTAAGGATAATTGAAGTAAAAACTAGATTTTGTTCCCTTACTAGTAAGATTATAAGGATGCCTTAAGGAAGGAGAAAAAACTCGTTAATGAACTATTTTAGTAATTAATAGAGTAGCTAGAACGAGTTATCAATTTTTAAATATTCTTCCAGCCTTCGAGCTTGTTTATTTAGTAAAGGATGAAAAAAAAAAACCATAGCCTTAATTGCCTCATAGAATTAATTAAATTTTACCCTCCCCCCTCTTAAGTCGGGAGGAAAATAAAATTAAAAACAAATGTTTAAAATTGTGCAAAAGTTTTCTTTCTTTAGAAGGAAAAAAAATGAAGGGAAATGAAGAGTAAAAGTTTGGATTCCGGATATTCAAAAGTGACAGTAACAATAATATTTCAAAGGAAGAAGAAGAAGAAGAGGAGGAGGAAGAAGAGGAAGAAAAAAAAAAAGTATTTAAAAAAGTTCTCATGAAAGTGATGCAATTTCGATACGGAAAGAAGATTCCTAGCCAAAGACAGCATTGCGAAGATTGAATAAAGAACCCAAGGGTATTTCTGTGAAATGTACAGACACAAGCACACAACTGGCGACTGGTTGTTTCCCTGCACACTCGTCACCTAACTGTCAGTGTATTTTTCTTTTCTGGGGTTCCAGAAGCACATCTACGTTGTACGGTTTGACCCACCTCGAAACACTTCTAACTAATTATATACCTACAAAAAAAAAGAAAAAAGCTTAGAAATTTACTAAAATTCGAAAAAAGTTTAGATTTATTAACTATTTTTATACAGTTTTATTAAATTAATCAGTTTCAATACACGTGGTTTCAGTTTCTTGTATATTTCCGTTAAATCTTTCTATTTCAGAACACGTGTTTACATTACTTTTATGCATAATTAATCGGTTTCATGCTTACTATACATAAAAACGTGTAACTAATTATTTTACGATTATAAAAACCTTTAAAAAAAGTTACCAAATTTTATATAAAATTTTAAATTTTAATTAACTTTTTACGGGGTTTTATTAAATTAATATGTTTCATACTGCGTGGTTAATGTAATTTTTTAAAAAAAAATAATTAAATAAAATATTATTTATTTATTTATTTTTACAAATAAAGACGTTAAACCTCTCTATTTTTACAGATTTAAAGGTTATTTTTATTAATTGTCGATTATTCTATTATTTCGTTTTATTTTCCTTTATTTCACAATTGCCTTGTTTGTTCGTTCTGTGACATTTTAATTAAAGTTGTTTATTTCGTGTCACGTGTTTTAATTTAATCCATTTCGTTTCCTATTGTCTTTTTATTTTTTATTTTCTTTATTTTTTATTTTTTTGTCGTTTTCTGGTCATGTCCATTCCTACCACGTGGCTTCAATTTGTTTTGTTTTCTTTCTTTCTTTATCCTGTCAATTTTGCTAAATCTCGTCAATTTCACGCGACAGCTGAACTTTAAATAGAAATTGACAGAATTAAATGAAATTGACTGTTTAAAAAAATTCAATCACGTGGTCTGATCTGAAATAGATAACTTTACACAAAATCACAACCACGTGGATTGAAACAGATTAATTGTTATAAAAATGCAATCACGTAATCCGAAACAGATTAATTCTATAAAAAATTTATTAATACGGTTCGAAATGAACAGATTAAATTGAAATTTATTTAAAAAAATACAATCACGTGGTTGAAACGGATTAAAATATAAAAGCCACGTGTATAAAGTCTAATCACGTGATTGGAAATGGATTAATTTCGCGTAGAAATGTTTTAAAAGTCTAACCACATGATCTGAAACAAATTACATTATCAGAAACACGTAAAAATAAATAAAATTGCGGTGAAACAAAAAATGTAATGACTAAACAACGAATTAAATCACATCTGTTACGCTGATAACTTTAACTGCAAACGGCATTAAAAAGAACAAAAAAAAAAAAAAATAGGGTATATGAAACAGAATAAATAAATAAATAAATAAGGGGAAAAAAAAAATAATAATATTATGTGAAACGTGCAAAAATCAGATTTTGTCTCACGTCGCGCGGAATAACAGACAGACACACAAATCCCACAGAATAATAAATTTTAATTTATACACGACAAACTAAATGACATTAAATGTAAATTTTGTTAAAAGCAATTAAATAAAGAACAAACACCTAAACAATAACAGTAAAAAAATAAAATAATAAAATAAAACAAGAATAAACTAATCTATATTGTTACTGGGAAAAAAAAAAATTGTAAAATAAAAATGAAACAAAAGGGATTATTAACTAAAGATTAGAAAGACAAGAAATAAAAAATTAAAAATAAAAAAAATAAAAAACAAGACACGATACTTTTCTGGAATTTCAAGAAAATAAATCAGAATTCATAAAAAATAAGAAGTTATAAAAGAAAAAAGAACAGTAACTTGACAGTTGGTTTCTTCTTCTAACAAAATCACTGTTCAGCTTTTTCACTATCATCCGGAAACGGAATAACAAAAGAGAACATTAAAGACGTGAACTGGTTGCTTTTAGATTTATGACTTCATAAACACGTCAACGCTGTACGTCCTAATGAGCTTTTGCCTTTCATGCAATACTGATTGATGACCTATCCCCATGCCTACACTTTTTTAAACGTGTTTATACTCCGCAATATGAGTGTCAAATGTAACAAAACTATAACATTTCACCGTTTATTGGATCCAAATTTCGAAATGCCTATCCTATTTTATACTACCGATTAGGAATTCTTTTTTAAATATATGTATAAAGTTTTATTTTAGTGTATTCTCCCCCAAACCTTAACGTGTTGATTCAGATGTGACCCCGGATTGTTAAAATTGACTCGATTGGTTAATTCTTGACATGTGACGTAACTCCCCTCGCGTCGTCACCTAACGTGGGCGTGATTAATCACGCGTGATCTACGTCTTGCATGCCTCCAACCGACATGCTGTTAAAACCTTCATCTAAATTTCCCCTTCGTGGTTCTTTTATTTGAGGTCTCAACCCTATATTGAGATTTTAAACTGGAAATAGCTCCTCCTCCACTTGTCAAAGTCGAAATAAAATATAAACAATTATCTTAAAATTGTTAATTTATTTGAAAAATCTTTAGTTGGCCAGAAGACTAGCCAAGTAGACACTTTGTAAGATAATTAATTAATGTCGGCATGATAAAACGGAAATTCTACAGGAAACCATTCAGCCTATAGGCTAGAAAAACCAGTAAATCCTAGCAGAAATTGGAAAGCTTCATAGCGACCAGCTTATCCACCTAATAAGCCAGTCTTTCTTATGATGTCATACCTCTAGTCATTTATCATGATTATGACCTATGACCCCGCGTCGACTTCCTGTACAACGTTATGAATTCGGCATTGACACCTTTCCTGTTAGACAGAGGGGGGAGGGGGAGAAAAAGAGAGAAAAAAATTACATTCGAAGTGTTGGACGTGCGCAACTTTATTTTGCAAGCTGATAAATTTAATTAATTATCTGGCACTACGTCGTGTGTTTCGGATGTTTATATACAATTGATGATGCAAACACGTGGTAGCAATCATTAAATAATTTTCTAATGACTGCTAATTCCCATGTTTGGATATTTTTACTTCTGTATCATCATTAATGAAGGACATCAACTGTGGAGGAATAGTATTAATCTTTCCCAACATTAAATGCGTTCTGTGTGCAACACATTCACGGTTTTAAGCACTTATAATGACATGCTCTACCTGTTTATTAATTCCGTCCGCTTGGAAGTATCCTTTAATATCCCTTCCAGGCCCAGTCATGTGATGGATTGGCGCATACCAAACTTTCGCCTATTCACTGAAGTTATTAACAAATTTTCCACAAATTTTTTCCATGCACTACTTCGTGTTAAATTAATTTTCCACCATTGCTCATAGGTCCCATTTCACATACCAATAGCTAATCTATGACTAGTTATAGGCTATAAAGTAGACAGTATTATCGACCCGTAACGTGATAGCCGCGTACAGAAAAAAAAAGGCGCATTTTTAGAAAAACGCGTGAATTCTTTTCGTTCAAACTCCTCCCTCTGAAAGGTCAGAGTTCATAGCACGCGTCGATGTTAACCGGGTGTAGGAGCAAAGCGGAATTTTATAAAGTCGCGCGCCTAGAAGTTGTATATATTAACGTATTGGAACGTGGGAGGAATACAATATTAATTTACAAGGAATTAGCATTTTGCTGATACTTAATATCGTTTTGAATGGGGGCCCAGCTGAAATCTGAATCAGATAAGTGGAGAAGAGGAGCAGCCCTGGACGACGCCGGAGGATCTGTCACTAAGACGCCTGTCAATAGTAGAGCGGCCATGATAGATGGGACTGGAGTGAGTAAGTGATATCTGGTCCTGGCCCGTCACAATCCTGTCACGGACTGCACGCTGCCTAGGTTTTTGCGTGCGCTGGACCTTCTCCTTTCCAATCCAATCCCCGCACAGAAATCCCAGGTGCTTTGCTTTAATGGAACTGGCAGATATAAGCCTAAATGCAGCCTAACCGAACAATGCTATGTAATTTTCTTGCTTGCTGGAGCACTTATGAATTCTCATCGCACTACCTACATGAAAAAAAAAACTTTTTGCATTTCAAACTTTTCCATTTTACCTATGGGCATATAGATTTATGCTGCTCCAACTCTCCCTGCAACTCGTAATGAAGTAACTTTAAGGTTTTAACTTATCATAAAACTATCAAATTAAGCATTATTCTAGTTTTAAAATGCCTTACATTTATAAAATATATATATAATTTTAGTAAAATCAATGCTGAAACTTAGGCGAGTAGGAGAAATATTAAGCAGAAAGTACATTGTTTCTATGCAAACTGAAGGCGTGTAGGATATAAATTATTATGTAAGACGTAAAATAAAAAAATAAGATTTAAAATAATAAGTTTTTCTTCTTTAGGAAAAAATAATCTATGAAAATTGTTTTGGATAAGATAAATTTCGCTGCTAACAAAATTTTTATTTAAAGAATTGGTAGAAGGGGAGAGTAGCGGCTGTACTAGGGAAGATGTGAGATAGCATTGGCGATTTTTGTCAAGATTACTTCACCAAACAAATACAATATCCTGTTTTCTTGACGATCAAGACAAAGCGAAGAAGAGACAAGCTCTTACAACTTAATAGGATTGAGTATTGGTGTACGTAGGATTGGGTACCCTCTTACAGACTTTGTAAAGTAAAAATTTACAGAAAGAAACTTTCACAGTGGCCATAAGATGGCGCCCCGCATCTGGCCCCCTTCTCTCCACCCCTGGTAGCCCAGCCAATGACGAATGACCCTGACTGGAGAGCACAGAAGATGGCAGAGAATAGGAAGATTAATGGTGTTGCAAGGTCCGCCAAGCCGAACCCGGGCAAGAGAGTGAATGATGAAAGAACTGCCGGATTTCACTTTCTTAATTTTTTTTCCACTTCATCAGTAAAGTCCAATGGAATTTTACACAGAATTTTGATTTATATAAACCTATATGGGCCATATATATATCGAAGAAAGTTATGAAACGACCCTATGAAAAGTTGAACGAACATCTCCCAACCAGTCGGGTTTCATAACTCTTAAAATAACTTTTAAAACGTGTTTTAGTTAAATATTCTATTAAATTGTTGTAAAATAAGCTTTCAGCTATTGTAAAGGGCATAAAAGATAATGTTTTTGGAGAGAGATAAAGGCACTTTTTCCTTCTTTTAATGCGGTTAAAACTACAGATTACGGTGCTTTGAGCTTTGAAAATCGCTGCTTCTGCAAGAAAATAATTTTAAAATATATAAATAAACTAATTTAATAGAGTTATAAGGGTATATTAAGTCCATAAACACTAAAAACCTTACGATTTTTAATGCGAAGTAAAGGAATAAACGACCGTTTTTCATGGTTTAAAAAGTGAATTAAATGACTTTCTAGCATGGTTTAATTAATTAAAATACTATATTTAGCTCTCGAGATATTTAAAAAAGCCAAGATAATGAAGGTTTAGTCATACAATCAACATCATTTTTCCCATTGGAATAAGATAAAAAATAGCAGATAGAGTTCCTGAATAGAAATAAACAGAAGACTGTTGACAACACTTGTCCAGACGAAATTTCCCAGTGCAAACAAATCAAACAGTTTAGTTTAACGTTAAAAGATAAAGATTTTTGTCTACCTTTTCCTTCATAAGAGGCTCTAGATGTTGTATATTTTCAGTTATTAATCAATATATCTCAGCATCTTCACTCATCTCCCTGAAAAACAGTAAAGTTTAAGCTTAGTTTCTGTGTAATCAACAGGCCTCCTATACTCGATAGAAGCGCTACAATGAGCCTTAAGACTCAACATCACGTTTATATATAATATGAGGCACTAAAATAATATTTAAACTTTGTTACTTTGTAAGAAAATCGAGTAGGAGAGAAGATCTATCTGAAGATTTGTATATGAAGATAAGGGCACTTAATTGTAATATGATGGGGATTAAAGATAAATATTCCCACCCACGACGCCACTTCAGCAGTAGCAAGCTATAATATTTCGGTATGTAACGATGGAAATGACCCTCCCTCCTCTGAGTGACCTCAACCTTTAACACCATTCCCCAAGCTGTGTCGACTGGGCGACCCTGCGCCCTCCCTTATTTTCTCAATTCTTCAAACCACCACCTTTACCATGCTTATATCCGGTGCAGCTGTCGTTAAAACTTGTCGCTAAAACTTGACGTGTCGCTTGATACGTGAACTTTGAGCCATTCATATGTCAAATTGGCTCCCACTAGTTTGTTAGGACGTCGTTTATCCATAGGGCATTGGTGATTTGCTAGGTTTTAATTAGCCAAAACTCGTCCCCCTTCCTGTTTATTAGACAGAAAGAAGCTGATTTGTGCATTCGAAAAGCCTTCGTAGAGGTGTTTAGCCTTTCCTCAAAGGCTGAGTACGTATACCAAAGTTCGTATAAATCCACTTTAAAGCCTTTAGATGAAGAAATTCTGATAACGGCTTTGAGACGAGAATTTAATGCGGCATTATATAAAAAAATAGCCTTTAACGAGATTTTCAGGCTTTTTTAAGGTTAAACAAACAGAATAACATTTTCAGTGAGAATTTAACGCGATTTAAGCCTATATTTAGGCTATAGAGACTTAATTTTAGTAACAATAACTTGATGAAATTCGAGTTTTTAATAAAGGCTAACTAGCCTAAATTAAGGTTATAATATAATTTTAAAACCTTCATCAAATACAGTATATAATAACGTCAATGCCCGTTCTACAAGGATTTAATGTGGTTTTAATAAATTTATTACACTAGATAGCCTTTGTTAAAAGTGATTATACAATTTTCAAGTTTATTTAAGGCCATTTAGCTTAACTTAAGCCTTATTCGCTTGAAATTAGCTGTCCTTTACTGTTTTCAAGATTAATTAAGGCTATAAAGCCTGAAAGTCCTCGCTATGAGAACCTATTTTAAATTATTCCACTGACGTTTTTATACAAGAATTTAATGTAATTTAAATAACGTATTTAGCCTTTATTAATTAACAGTTTTCAAGAATAATTAAGGCTAGACAGAAGAAGCCGTTATTATCTAACAAATCTTTTCTATAAAAATTTAATATGGTTTTAATAAACTACTTAGGCTAGATGGCCTGTTTTTTAAATAATCACTATACAATATTCAGGCTAAATTAAGGCTGTACACATCACGCTAGAAATATTTATTTTTTACATTAGGATAATGACTTTTTCTATAGTCATTTAATACCAGATAGCCTTCACTAAGAGTATTCAGACTTTCATTAAGGCTATTTGAGCCTTAAAATCATTGATTAAAGGAGCTAATTTTTAAAAAATTTCTGCAGGGTTTTCTTTTCTTCCCCTATTTTTTTTTACAAAAAACAAAGGTATTTTTTTACTTGTCTTCATTATAAATCTAAAAAAAACCTTGTGTTTTTATTATTAAAATCAACTTCTGAAACTTTTTTTGTATGTATATTTATATATATCTTCTCCTTCCAATATCATAAAAAGCGAAATTCCTTAAATATTAAATTTTTTGAATATTTGAGAAGGTAATTATAAATTTTTTATGCATTTTTTCCTCATTTCTATTTTCTTTTCTTTTTATTTTCTAAATCAACATTCCAATCCAAGCAGAAGAGAAGAAGAAGAAAAAAAAAGAAATAAAGAAAAGAAAAATTAAAAAAAAAGAAAAACTAAAATCACAAAATTTATATCTTCGCCTGTAATTCGCTTTCCCCGCACAGCACTTAAGTCTATAGGAAAAACCAAATCTGCTGTCTAGACTGAGTGCTGTACAATGGAAAAAAAAGGGGTGGTTTACAGAAATAAAATGTTACTTTAGTATAATAATAAGCTAATTTTAATTAATTTCCGCCATTTTTCTTAAAAATAATCGCCATTAAATTTAAATTAGGTAACGTTTAAGTTACGTTCTAAAACACCCCTCCCTCATCTTATGTTTAAATTAGGGAAAATGTGACTTAAAAACCCTCTTATAACACGATAAATTATGACTTTATAAACACGTTTTAAGTTATAAAATTAATTAAAATGAGCAATTATTTAGTCATATATATATATTTTTTTTCGACAGATACGAAGAAGGTCCGTGGTATTAAATCAAAAAATCTGACGTACAGACTTATAAATTCTTAAAATTAGGTGGGTTTACGGGAATAAATAAATAGTATAAAAGTTTATTTTTTTAATTAAATTTAAGCGTTTTTTATTTAAAAAAACAAGCATTAAAATTAAATTAGAGGTTTATAAGACGATTTAAAACGTGTAAAAAGTCAGCTTATTTATACTTAAATTACTATAAGAAAGAACGTTTTTAAGCAGGTTTTAAGTTATAAAATTAATAAAATAATTAACAGTAAACGTTGTTTTTTTTTCTTTTGTAGAAGGGAAAGGGAAGAAATGAGAGATGCTTTAAGAAAAACAGCAATTTTTTCTTGACAAAATTATTAAATTTGAATCTTCGGAAACTAAAAAATACGATAAAGTATAAGTAACGAAATGAATACGGACAAGAGATTGTAAAATATTGCTTTTAGTCACGGCTCCGAAATCTCTTAGCTAAATTGAAGGTTGTGCAGTTCTTATCTCGAGTTCTGAAGAACAGCAGGCGTGGCTTGTACACAACGTAGAGATTACACCCTTCTAAGACGCCTGTTCTGTTTCAAAACACTAAATCCGAGATTCCTACTTTTACACACACACACAGACACACACATACATACATACACACACAACATTCAGCTATTTCTCAGAGAATTGTCCGAACCAAGTCCCAGGGACATCACTCCTTGTCTGGAAAACAGGTGGAAGGTTCTGTTCGAAAATCCACCATATGACGTTTACCCTACATGATTTAAAAGGGTAAACTTAACATAAATAATCGACTTATTGCATAGTTTCGGGAGGAGGAAGAAGAGGAAAAAAAAGAGAAGATTGTACAGTTCAAAATTATCAATTCAGGTTGCCTATCCTAGATTAAAGTCGACCCCATCCTCCTCCTTCTCCTCCTCTCTTCTCTTCTCTTCTCTTCCTGCTCCTCTTTTCTAAATTTGTAAGAGGAAAATTGCTCATAGACTTGTTATGTCTTAATCAATCTGTTATACCCCCCCGTAAGATGATTAATAATATCTGTAAAAGGGGGGTTTTAAGATATGATTTTCATTCAATATTCAACATTTGAATGATGCTGTGCTTAACTTCATACACTTATCACATAGAGATGAGCCAATTTACAAGGGGGGGTCGTATTATGTTTTAATCAAATTCCTCACATTTTTATGTATCAGGGGATTTTTAAAGGGTTGTGTGTTCTATAAGGCATAGAATCAGTAGGGATCTGCTCCTTGAAAGTTTAAATTGAGCAATCTACAATTTTTAGAGGGGGAGAGAAGAAGTGGAATAGAAAAAAAAGAAAAGAAAAAGCTAGCAGATGTTTCTAAAATTTATTCTATACAATCTAAACAAGTTATTCTTTGTTTTTTTTTTATTCTTGTACTTTTACATCTCTTCTACAAGATATTTCAGAGCCTTGCATGACATCAAAAATTACTTCTGAGCTGGATTTTTTCTTCGTCTTTTTTTTTAGAAGCTATCTAATTAAATTTTTTGGAGAAATTATATTCTGGGCCACTTCTCCATCTAAAAAATTCTTCTTTTAATGTGTTTTTGTTGTGGTATTTGAGCTTAACTTAAAGTCCTTAAGCGTTCTTAATAACACCTACGTAGGAATGAAACGTTCTAAAAAAATTCTTAGTACTAAGTCTTAACAAATCTCTTTCATTAAACTGAGATTTTCTGAAAAAAAATACCAAGAAAATAGATTCAAGAATTTAAAAATATATAGAATATCTAAAAAAGGTGTGGAGTAATAGGTTGAAAGTCATGTAAAATTACCTCCAACAGTAGATAACCATTATCGATAGAAGAGGTTTCTATTGTTGGATTTTAAGAGAAAAAAATTAAGATTTAAGGGTTTTAGGAGGAAAATTCTGAGGAATTAAGAAATCAATACGAACAATAAGCTGATAAAAAAGCAAAAAATTAAGAGAAAATTATACAAAACAAACATTAAACACAACTTCAAACATAAAAAATAATTTAAAAACGAAAAGAACTTAGATTAAAAAAGAGAAAAAGTATAACAAAGAATTAAAATTAGAGTACAAAAAGACTCTAATTTTACTTCTTCGTTCTCTATACAGAGTATAATTAATTTCCTATATAAACCTCAAACAAAAAATCTTCAACAGTAGAAACTTCAGCTGTTGAAGATTTTCCTACTTCACAGGATCTTTCAGAGGTTATCCTGCTATAGAAAGTCTATTAGAAGTTTTTGCATTAATTTATCTATATTTTCTGACTGTTACTTCTATACAATTTTAGTAACAGATGCAGCAATGGGTCCCAAGAAGCGCACGACGAGATAATAACAGAAGCATTGGAGAGAGAGCCCTTGAAAACTCAGCAAAGAAGAAGACACGAACTTCAGTACAATGCCCAAAATGCCCCAGAATACTTTAAGCATCTTTTTATATTATACATATTTAAGTTAGCAAATGTTGCCTTAACGTTTTTATACATTAACAAAAAAACTACGTCCGTAAACAAAATAATGCGGGTGCATTATTTTGTGTTGCGATTGGACAAGGAATAAATTTACTTCTTGCAGAAAAGAAATGTTTCCTGAGAGAAGAGGGAAGGAGGATTAAT